TTCCAGACACACAACCTCAACCAGCCTCTCACACGACCGACGCATTCATCGTACATTGATGGGTGAATGAATGGACGGAGGTATGCCTCTCCATCACAGCTGTCTGTCTCTCCTATCCGAAGAGCCGGTCTGTGTCCCGTGCCCAGCTCTGCTGCAGAGCGCTGCCGACGGGACTGATGCCGTGACTTGCTGGGCCGGGCTGGGGCATGCCGAGACCCATACCGCCACCACCATAGCTGGGCACAAGGCCTCGCGAAGACGGCGAGCTGCGATTGAAATCTGCACACACGCATACATAAAACGACAAGGAAATCGTGACGTGTGTTGTTGGTCGGTCCCCTTCTTGTCTTGGGCCCACTCACTCACCAGTGCCAGCAGGTGCGTAGGGCTGCCCCAGTATCGTAGGTCCCCTGCCCTGTGCGCCCATGCCCATGCCCATGCCGCTTGGGCCCCTCCAGCCATGATGGCTGCCGAATAGACCGCCGGCAGGCGACATGCCCCCACTCCCCACACCCACCACTGACAGTGGATGTGTGGGCGGAGTGACCATTGGCGGGGCTGAGGGAGGGGGCGGATGGGGAGTCGGGTACCGGGGTGATGGCAGGGGCCCCACTGGTGCGCCGTACATGGTGGTGCCTCCCCCGTCAGGTCCGGGGAAGCCCACACCACCAGGACCACTGCAAGTCAACACACACACACACACACGAATCACGTACGCATGACACGTCTCGTCTCGGTCCATGTCAGTCAGTTTCTCACCGTGTCCCAAATGGCGTGTACCCAACAGGCGAGGTCGACCTTGGCGGCCGCATGCCCTGGCCGACACCCCTCCCCATGCCGCTTGGAGGCGCCATTCCCCTGGCCATGCCGGCAGGACTAGCAGGACCGAAGCCACTCTCCATCCCCATGCCACCAAAGCGTGGAGGCGGTGGACCCCTGATTGGCGATGGTGGGCGGTTGGGTGGACGCGTGAAAGGGGGAGGGCGAGGCTGGGTGCCGTCCGGGCCGCTGCCACTGGGGGTCGGCTCTGACGGGTTCTCGAAGTACGTGGTCCCACCGACCTGCACGACGTAGATGTCCTCGCCCTGCTTGTTCTTAATCATGCGGGGCAACGAGGGGGGACCTGATATATTGGAAAGATGAGACAGTGAGCATCCCGTGTCTGTTATGTCATCCCCCTGTCTGTCTGTCTGTCTGTCTGCCTGCGTACCAGCACGTCTGCTTCCCCTGCCTCTGCCCCGCCCTCGGAATGGCGGCTCCGTCGACAGATCGGTGTCGGCCAGCGATGGGGGTCCTGTGCGGCCGCTGAACGAGCCATAGCCGCGGCCACGGGGAGGACCGAAATCTATACACACACGCAGACAGCTGTGAGAGAGCCGAAAGCTGCATGTGTCTGTAGTGTACACCTGTTGGGGTCTATCTCACCTGCCATCCCATGGTATCCCCCGAAGGAGTAGTCGGTCATGCCATCATCGCCAAACAAGCCATCACCACCGTAGGGCGGCCAGCCGAAGTCTTGCTGGCCCCCCTCCGCCCAGTCCCACCGTGGCGGCCCACCACGCCCCATCCGAAACCAACCTGAGACAACCACACAAAGGGGGTAAGAGAAGATCTGTCGGTCACCGCACAAGGGCGTACCACCGTCGAAGAAGCCATCTCCTCCCCCGGCTCCGAAGGAGCCCCTGCCTCTGCCGCCCCTGGGGTACTGCCCCCAGGCCGGCGGCGGCCCTCCGCCGTGATACATGCCGTCCCAGTACATCATGTCGTCATAGCCGTCCCACATATCCCACTCGTCATAGCCCCACCCTCCCCGCCCTCTGCCCCTGAAGCGACCTCTAAACCGTCCCCGATACCCTCCTCTGTATGGCCGCCAGCCACGGGAGCGCATGCGGCCCTGCCCGCCGCCACGGAATGCCATGTCCTGGTCGTCGTATGCGCCGATGCCGACCAGCCTTGACCGTGTGTAGGGGGACTTGTGCTGTTGGTGTGAGGACGGTCGGGTGATGTCGAGGTCCTTGAACGCCTTCAGGAGATCGTATGGGGGATTGCGGTCGAAGCGGGGGTCCAGCATGTTCAGGCCCTTGCCCTTGGTCGCCTCGTCTGCAGAGACACGCATGCCATGCCATGCCTCACTTGATGTCACTACAAATCATCCATGGCGTCTGTTTGCTGGGCTCACCGAAGTAGAACCTGAAGAGAAGGTTGACGTGAGGGAGGACGACCTTGCTGATGTCGTAGAGCACCTTGGGAAGCCTCAGAACATTCCACTCCTCATCCAGCGGGACCATCGGATGAGGCTCCTGCACCCACAGAGATCCCATTCAACCATGCCTGTCAGCCTCTCGTGTGTCGACCCCCACCCACCATGATGACGGGGCTTTTGGCAGCCATGGCCAGTGTGGGTTCGTGTGTCGACTTGGACACCGAGCACTCCTCCCCCGGGCCGCACGCCTCCTTCTCCTCCTCCCTCTCCGATTCCTTCTCGTCCTCCTTGGCTACAGGGGGCTCACCTGGCGCTGCCGCTTCGGCCGTGTCAGCGAAGACGTCATCATCGGCTGAAGGAACAGAGACCAGAGATCAGGGAGTGACACTTTGACTGACCAGGCCCTCGGTCTGTCTGCCTTCCCTGCTCCTCTCTCTGCCTGACCTTTGGGTTTTGTCGCGTCGTCTTCTGCCTTTTCGGGTGCCTTGCCCGTCTCCGTCTCGGGCACACCTCCTGTGGTGTCGGGCGGAGCAGGCACCGCGGATGGCGCACCAACAGGTCGCAGCCCCTCCTCTCTCCTGATGGCCCACTCTCGCTTGGCCTTGCGGCACTCGCGCTTGATGTGCAGCAGCTCCCTCAAGGCATCACCCAGCAGGTGCTCGCGGTCAGCCGCGGTCGGGGCGTGGTGCTCCTCCTCCGCCGCCAGCTGTATGGAAGACGAAGATGAGTGTGCCGACTACTGCTGCCCTTACATGTGCTAGTGTGTTTGTGTTTGTGTGGCACCTGGCTGCCTTCTCCGATGACCAGCGGGTCCAGGGAGGCGCTCTCGGCCATGGCCTCAGCGATGGGCTTGTCGTGTGTGGCTTCCTCGTCCGCACCTCCAGCGCCTGCGAGAAAGGCATCCACCGATTAGATCTATCAGTACTTGTGGGGGCGGGCACAGACATGTGTCCATCCATCTCCCATCTACTTACTTTCCTTGCTCACCTCTCGTCCGTTTGAGCGTGGCCATGAGGTCTCGTCTCGCCTCATCCAGTCCAGTGATGGTCAGCCCGCCTATGTTTGGCGGCAGCGACAGTGCGACCACCTCGGGGACGGGAATGGGCCCTTTGCCAACTCTGATTGGGTGGGTGCATGCCAGGCGTCCACCACACACACACACATACACATACACACACGGCGTCATGTCATGCGTCATGAGGGGGGTCTGGTCACCTGAATGAGTACACATTGGCTCTCTTGAGCCACTCGGGCACCACATCCATCTTCTCCCCCAGCACGATGGGCGTGTAGCCGAGAGTCGACCCATCCTCCCAATCCAGCTTGATCGGCGGCACACCCTGGCGCTGAGGTAAGACACATACGACGGACACATACATGTGGTTGTCTGCAGTGGATTCGATGACTGTGTCGTCCGTCCTTGCTTACGGGGTCATCGTCGACGCGAGTCAGGTGACAAAAGGTACCTGCAAAAGGGAAGAGCAAACCACAGACAGTCATCCAGATCATTCATCCTCTGTCTGCCCCAGACAGACCCCCCTCCCTCCTCCCTCTACCTACCAACACCCTGCATCGGCGGATACTTGAAGGGCGTGTCCTTCTCTGACGACTGGGCGGGCCAGAGGATGTGCAGGAGGCCGCCCGCCTTGCAGACGACCTTGACGTGCCGAACCAAATGGAACAGAAACAGACTCAGCCGCAGGCTGAACAGCGGCGACCTGGGGTCCGTCACCTGCTCCGCTCCCATCTCATCATCGGCACCACTCGCCTCAGCCTTGCCGGCCCCCTCGTCCCCTCCACCCCCCTCACTGCCGGCCGCCTTGCTCTCGCCGTGTTCCCCTGCCTCTGTCACCTCTTTGGTTGCAGTTCCGGGGAGGCCGACCCGTTTGAAGGCGATGCCGGGCAGCAGACAGAAGATCTGGTCGAAGGACGATGGGTCGAGGGCGTCGGCGAGGCGGTATGCACTGACGCCGAGCTTGCGGTCGACGAAGGGCGCCTCGCAGAAGTTGTCGAATGCCGAGGGGAAGCAGTCCTTGATGCCCTCGGCTGACAGGTGGGTGGCAATCGTGATGTCCCACTTGGAGAACTTCTTGGCCAGACACGGGAGGAGGGAGGCATCTTCGTCTCCGAGGATGAGGAACGATGTGGTCGGGGGACTGTTGATGGAGGTGGGCTGCGTGGCCTGCAGACCCGAGTCGAGAGCATCACAGTCGTCAAGGGACAGGGGCGGCTCAGTGGCGCCGTCTGTGCGGATCAGCTGCGGCGCTTCTCCCTCAGGTTCCAGCGGGCCGTCCATTGCCTCTGCCTCACTGCTTGCTCACTGCCGATGCTGAGCTGCGCGTCTTCTCGAAGCCTTCACTTCAGACAACAAGAACTTTCGCTGCATCTACTGCTTCAGCCACTTGCGTGCCGATCTGCGCCGCGTGATCTCTCTCTTTTTTCCCTCCCAGTCGCGAGCTTAGCTGTGATCGCTCCGCAGCGTCTGCGCCAAACTGCTCGTCTTTTCCCCAAAAGGAGGCCTGAGAGTGGTCTGGCAATGAAGCTCTACACGGCTGCGTTTTCCTTTTCGGCAGCCATCAGTGCGCTGCTGGACCTCATCCCCCTCGCAGCCTCGTATGTCATCACCCCCCCTTCCCTACGAGCATCATCCTTCGCTGGACGCACCCTCTCCGTGAGCAGCATAACCACACACTGCCGCACACAGCACAGATCTCTCCATTGCTTGGCTCTGGTGTTGTATATTTATCTCTTGTTTGTGTTCCTTCCCTCTGGACAGACCCCATCGGTGGATGCAGATGTCCCCCCCTCCCTCCCCCCCTCCCTCCCCCTCCCCTCTGGCGTCCGCTCCCTCGACATGCGATGGTCCCCACGGCGCAACACCAAGACGTGGAAGCGGCTGTCGGGCGCCAGTCGTCTCAAGGAGCTCACCACTGAGCGGCGGCTGATGGGCGACAAGGCGCGCAAGATCGGCGAGCGGCCGATCATCAAGGACCCCGCCATGATCTCCATCCGCAACGTCTGCCCCACCATGAGCGAGCTGGATGTCGAGTACTACTTCGAGTACCACTATGGCGCCACGTCGGTGTACTGCAAGCTGGAGAAGGACAAGAAGACCAAGCAGCACAAGGGCCGCGGCTACCTGCACTTCATGCACCCTCTCTACGCCACGTCGGCCATGCTGACCTTCAACGGCACCATGCTGGGCAACCAGAACATCGCCCTGGGCGAGTACTTCTACCCCGATTGGCGGGAGAGGGAGGCCGAAAATGAGAGGAGGAGAAAGGGTGAGTCAGTCGAGGCAGAGGCTGAGTGAGTGAGGCTGGCTGGCAACGCAGCACGTGTGTGCGCAAGGAGTTACTGGTTCACCTCTGTTGATCTGTGTGTGTGTGTGTGTGTGCGTGCGTTGGGTCAGAGCGTTACGAGGCTCGTGTGGCGGCTCGCGAGGCCGCCATCCGCGAGATAGAGGAGGAGGACCGACAGGCGGAAGAAGAGGCAGAGGAGGCAGAGGAGAAGGAGATGGTCGCCGCGTGAGGGGTCATGCGACGCAAGAAATGTCTGGTCGGTCGTGAGATGCTGGACTGACTGACTGACTGACTTTGAGGCTGGTGTGACTGACGTTGCTTGCGACGCGAAGCAATGATTGACGCTGTCTATGTGTGTTGGCCGCTGGTGTGCGTGCGTGCGTTTCAAATGCGTCTGTGTGTATTCGTTGGCTGGTCGATTCGATTCACCCATGTGAGCATCATATGTTCATCCGTCCGTCCACACATCCGTCCCCCGTCCATATGGACTTGCGCAACGCAACGCACCAGTCAGTCATCAGCGCCACACAGAGACACCGAAGCCTCTGGCTGTTAATTAGGTTACTCACTCGGTCACTTTGTCGCTCCCCTCATCCCCCTTGTTATACGCCCTGAAAGCATGAAACTGGTGGTTGAGCTTGCTGTGACTGTGCACATGGAAGCGGCCGCCCGTGCCGCCCTTATCCCTATTAGGCGTCCGAAACACCACCACATTCACCCTCGAGTGCAGCAGCGCCATGGCACACATGACACATGGCTCGTGCGTCACAAACACGTCGCAGCCCGTGCAAAGGTACTCATCCTCAGGGATGAACCGCGCCGACTGCGCCTCGCCGCTCTCTGTCTCGTCGTGCTTGCGCTTCCTCGCCTCGCCGCCCTCATCATAGCTATCATGTCTGCTGGGGTTGGACTGTGAGTTGGACTGCCGCAGCCGCCTGGCGCGGTCCTCGATGGCCAGCATAGCTGCGTGGTGGAGAGGGTGGGACCCGCGGCGGTCGGAGGCCTCGCCGACGACGGTGCCCCTCAGTGTGAGCACACACCCCGAACCACCGTGGCCCTCGGCTGCCGACATGGCTCCCACTGACACACACACACAGAGGAGAGGAGAGGAGAGGAGAGGCTGACTATCACAAGTCTTGTGAGGAATGTGTTGGAGATTCACTCGTCCCTACACTGAAACGCTCTGTCGAGATGCCGTGAGTACTGCTTGCAGAGCTCAGGGCTGCAGTCAGTGCAGCAAACCGACAGTAAATCAAACGAGTACAAGTCTGTGTGGGTCGTGTCGGGTCGTGCCTACGTGAGGGCGAGAGGCTGCCATGAAGGTCTGCGAAAGCTGGTCGGCCACACCTGGGTCCACTCGGCTGCCTGCTCCTTGGTGACAGGCTCGTGGAAGGGCACCTGCACCTCCACTGGTACAGCAGCACCGATCCCTTTGCTGGACAGATGCCGGGCCAACTCATCCGGCACATGCTGCACACACACAGAGAGAGAAGTACAGATCACACACACAGACACATCCAGCAAGCATCGCATCCTCTGTGATGCATTCGTCGCAAACTCACCGGTTCGAGCCCCAGGAAGATCTGCAGGACGTCATTCTGCTTCCTCGCCCTCTTGAGGTGTGTCAGAGATGCCGGCATGGCACAGAGCTGCCCCACGAGCTTCAGGCAGTCGCTGCCCAGCTGCAGCGGCACCTCGACGGCGTACGCACGGCCCACCTGGAGGCGTCGGGAGTACTCGAGAGGCAGGATCTCCTCAAAGCGGTAGGCGGGCTGGGAAGAGCACGAGGCCTCGCAGTTCGTCTGCATGAGTCATGACGGTGATGGCTAAAAGATCTTGATGGTTTCTCGTTGGGGAGGATGTCAGAGCCTCAGAAGAGAGAGGCTGAGGGGAAGGCTCTAAGCTCGCAGATGGGAGCGGAAGAGGAAGGGCGGCGTTGTGTGTAGATTGATGAGAGACGAGAGCATCTGGGTGATGGTCAAATATAGCGTCTAGGTACTGAAGCCTTTGTTTGAGAGAATGAAGGTGAGCCACTCAAGCTAGTTGGGATATTGGGGTGTGTGTGCGGTTTCCTGCAGGAAGCAGTGGCTGTAGGGATGTTTCCGCAAGAGGTGCACCTCAAATACAAAACGAAACTCTGCCCGCACTATGAACAGGTGACACCAAAACCAGATAGATGCTCGACTACTTTACCGCACAGACCGTCTTTGTTTGTTCTCCTGCTGTGCTGCAGCATTCCCTGGCGACGGGCAACCAGCTTCGGTTCTGTCCGTTCCGCGACAACTGCCGAGACGCCCATGGCGTGGCGGAGCTGCGCAGCGAGGCCGACAACCGCGCCTACAACGAGCAGGTCCGCAACTACGCCCAGCAAACCATCGAGGCCGCTACCTACGCCACGGCCATGCTGGGCTTCCAGCACTACGACCCGTCGGCGTACGCCATGATGCAGTACCAGCAGATGGCCTCGCCCACAGCCGCATACCCGACAGCCGCAGCGGGGACGGGCCAGGCCGTCTTCCCCACCGCCCCCCAGCAGCCGCTGTTCCCCACGCCGTCTCCCTCCTCCTCACAGGCACAGCTGGCGGCCGGTGGGCAGCCCGTGGTGGTCGACTTGTCCAAGGAGGAGTCGTCGCCCTCGCCGGGGGCTCGTGAGGCCAAGGAGGAGGAGACGGCTGCTGCTGCTGGTGTTGATGACGCTCAAGACGGCGAAGAGACGGACCGGACGAGAGCCGAGGAGGTGCAGAGGGGCGACAACACTGCTGTCGCTGCAATAGCAGCAGAAGAGGGCAAGGAGGAGCCCGAGGCGCCGCAAGAAGAGGTCAAACCATCCAAGGAGGTGGTCCAAGAGGACACCACGAAGGAGCAGGAGGTTAGCGGTCAGCCGTTGTCGTCGATCCCCCCAGCCGAGCACATGTCCCCCCACTCCCCTGCATCAGACGAGGCCGCGGAGCAAGACGGCGGGGCATCTGGCCGTAACGCCGTGGTGCAGAGGAAACGCAAGATGCGTGGCTTCGCTGAGGACCGTGGTGCTGATGTGGATGGCGAGAGGGCGAGGGCGCGCCACGACTTGTGGCGTGGGAGCGGCGTGAGGGCTGCCGTCGAGTGGAAGCGGCAGCTTGTCGCATTCGTGCAGCAGCAACAGGGGGGCACTGTTTCCATTGCGCAAGCCGAGAAGGTCAGTCAGTCAGTCAGTCAGCGCTCAGAAGTGATTGATGCGTACACGCACTCGTGACTGCAATGCATTGGCCTGTCTGATCTCGTCTGCTGGCTTCATCCCATCCATCATTCAGCATTGCCCCGCCCCCGACCATCGGCTGCCCCGTCTGCTCCCCTTTCTGCAGCAGCACGACCACACCTTCTCCCTCACCCCCACTCACGTCTCCCTCCGGCCCTCACCCCCAGACGACCAATCCCTCACCCCCCCGCCATCCTTCACACAACAGCAAATCGTCGACCTGGAGTTTTCGATCGTCCTCCAGGCCATCGTGTGGGCCGACGGCCGGCTGTCGCTGAAGGATCTGGCGGACCAGTGCCCGGCTCGCCTGCGCAGCGATGAGTCGCTCCTGGCATTTCTGAGGCGCAGCGAGTTCCACGGCAACGTCTGGGCGGTGGATGAGGATGAAGGTGAGAGTGTGGTCGTGCTGACGAAGGAGTGGCACAGGCAGGCCAGAAAGTACTTCAAGCAGCAGCAGCAGCAGCAGCAGCAAGGGGGTGGGGAGGGTGTGGATGAGGGCAAGGAATGGGACGGCGAGGCCGCGGCTCGCATACACCAGGTACGGTACGCACCAACAGCACACCCGCCAAACAAACAGAAAATGTGCGTGTATGCGTATGTGTGTGTGCGCAGAAGTGCCGTCTGTTCAAGGGTGATGTGGAGGACTACGTCACCCATTCCCTCCGCTTCTTCCGCGACCATGGCGCCCACGACGGCACCGTCACAGCCGCCGCCATAAGACAGGCGGAGGCGGACGGCCTCAGACACCCGCAGTCGGCCATCCCGCCCTTTCCCCACCTCATCCTCTCACTGCCCTTCATCTACAAGTACCCATGTGCCGGGCGGGACGACACCGTGGGCCTGCATGACCGGTTCATGCCCGAGCCGCAGCACGAATTCATGGGGGATGCCGCCGAGAGCGAGGCGAGCGAGCCGCCGAGGAAGGCCATCAAGACGACAGACCATGAGGAGGAAGACCTCATGACGCCTGCTGCCGCCGGGGCTGCTCAGCAGCCTTCACAAGCGGCAGAGGGGGCGGAGGAGGGGGCGGGGGAGGGCGAGAAGGCCAGTGGAGATGCACATAGCCATGGGGCGCAGCTGGCGCAGCTGCAGCAGCAGCTCCAGGAGGTGACGCAGCAGCTCGCGGCAAAGGACGACGAGTAAGGCAACGAACAGCCCCACACGACACGACCGACAAGGGTACCATATATACCCACACACGATCTCTGTCTGTCATGCTGTGATGTGAAGGATCGCATCGAAGGACGCGGCATTACAGGAGGCGCAGGGGCGCGTTGCCGAGCTCAAGAAGAAGTAACCAGGCCGGGGGGGCACAGAATGGATGAGAGATATTCGCTCACACTCTTTGATCTCTTGCTTGCACGGCACGTAGGTGTCAGCGGGGCGAGGAGACGCTCAGCAACGCTCACCTCTACGCCAAGGGGCTGCAGCAGAGGTCAGCCAGGCACCCACACACACACCCATTGGAGCACGGTATCCCATCTGTGTCTGTGTGTGGTGACTGTGTCTTCAGGATAACGGAGCTGCAGAACGAGCTGGAGGACAAAGAGAACGAGTCAGTGGGCCGAACGAACGATCGACGCACTGCCTGTCTCGCCAGCGACACAGCGATATGTGTGTGTGTGTGTGTGCGCGTGTATGTGGTCAGGCTGTCTGAGGTGGCCAAGGCCAAGGCCGCGACCAAGTCCAAGGCCACCCAGACAGAGAGGGAGAAGCCCCGGCACCCCTCCCCTCCTCCCACATCGCACGCCCCAGAGCCGGTGCCGTACTCGGCAGCAGGGGCCAGCACCCACAGCCACACCGACAGCCCCTCACGCCCGCCTCTCAACCCATTCAACGGACCCACATCCGCACGACAACAGCCGAGGAATCCATTCGATGACGCTGGGAGCAGAGGCGTCAAGAGGGAGAGGGAGAGGGATCGGCTCCACATGGACCGAGAAAGAGAGAGGGATAGAGATAGAGATAGAGATAGAGACAGGCACCACACGGCCCCTGCAGTGAATGGCGTGGACAGCAGCAGGCACCATGGCCACGGGCATGGCGGCGGGAGAGACAGGGAGCGGGAGAGGGAGAGGGGGGCGAGGGGATGGAGGGGGTAGGTGTCTGACCGATCTCCCCATCGCATGGCAGGATGGCAGGCATCGCATCGTTGCAATGGGTGCAGGGCGCTACTGGGGTGGGAGGCCGGGTGGTGGGTGGTGGACTAATTGACTGACGCAAGGCAAGAATGGATAATTTGTGGGGGCTGGTGTGGTGTGGTGTAGTGTGCTGCGGTGTGCTGCGGTGCGGTGCGGTCTTGACGGACGGACCCTCTGTGTGCATCGCATCGCATCGCATCGCATCCATGCCATCCATACCTGGCAATGCAATTAAATGTCTTCATTGTCTACCTACCTACCTGCGTGCAACCAACTGCCGTATTTGGCTAGCTAGCTTGTTTGTAGTGGCTGTCGATGCAATGGATGCAGCACCCAGACCGAGAGACAGACAGACAGACACACAGACAGACCTTCACGATAGAACCAAGAATACATGAATGATGCATTAATGTCTCTTGCGCGCGTCGCTGCTGCAGTGACCAACGCAACGCACCAGCGTGTGTATGTGTATGTGTGTGTAAATGTCCGAAACCGACCAACAACCTTATGGACCTCACTTGTGATGAAGACTCTCTCTCTAGACGGACAGACACACAAAATGCGCCGTTGGCGGGCCAGCAGCTGCATAAAGCTCGCCGCCTTGGCACCGCCGCCTTTCACTCGCTCCTCAACAAGGGCCAGCCTCGCGTGGTGGTGGTGTGATGTCGACCGTCGTCCTGTTGGCGTCGACGTAGAACAGCAGCAGAGCGCCTGCATGCGACTCCACCTGCACCAATACACACACACACACATGTGCAGAGTGCTCCGGGGTACACGACAGACAGACATGGTAGGGTAGCTACCTGCGTGTGGGTGTACTTAGCGATGAGCCGGTCGTCGCAGTTGTACCACTGCCCGTCGCCCCTGTTGACGAATGCGCTGAAGTGGCCCTCCACGGCCTCCTCACCGTAGTGCACCACCACTGACACCAACCGATAGTCCGGCACACCCACACCACTGTCACCGCCGAAACCATAACCATCCGGAGGCAACCTGCAGCATACAGAAACAGACAGACAGACAGACACCATGGGACAGCGGTCCTTGAACACACAGATAGATGGGGTGAAGCTCAGCTGCCGTGCGGACGCCACGCACCAGTTGCGGTTGAAGTTGAGTGTGTCGGAGTACTCGACCTGCTTGGAGGCCTTCTCGAGCGATCCCGCCCCGTAGAGGGTCTTCTTCATGCTCACAACCAGCACCTGATATATCGAGACACACACACGACGTCTTGTCCGTCATGTCACTCACGTATGGATGGATGCCGTGGGAGCCCAGCCAGCCCGTCTTACTTACCGGCGGTGTGACGTGAAGGTACTGCCGTGCTGCATTCAGCTGCGATGGATCACCCTCAACATCGCCCGTCATGCCCAAAGTGATCGATATCGCGTCCCTAGAGACACAGACACACATACACACACACCGACCAGTACACCACAACTGCATGGCATGGGCTGATGGCGCTGTGTATGTGTATGTGTATATGTATGTGGGTGTTGTGTTGGTCCCTCACTCGACAGTGCGGATGCCGTCAGCAGCGATGGCCACATCAAGCAGCCAGAAGGGCTCCCTCTTCATCTCGGTGCCCCCTCCATCGCCCCGCACCAGACGCGCCAGCTCGCCAGCGAATAGCTTGCTGATCGGCGAGCTCTGCGCATCTTGCAGCGTCTCGTCACTGACACGTGCCAACATTCACACCACACCCAGCACAGCAACAGGCATGAACTCGGTGTGAGCAGCGGCATGTCTGTCTGTCTATATTCATTCTCACGATGGCGACAGGGGCGGTCGTGCCGCGTTAGGGGAGCCATCGGCGGAGCTGACAGCCGCTTCAGCAAGTGCTGCCGGTGGTTTCTTGGCGGCCGTCCTCTTCTGCCGTTTGTATCTGCTCTCGTGGTGCAGTCCGTCGAGTAGGAAGAGCAGGAACTCTGAGGGGTCGCTCTGGACACCGCCATAGCTCACCGCATCTGCACAGGCAGATCAAGCCAAGCATCAACACACGCACACACGATGGGACGGACACAATGGACGTGTGTGTGTGTGCTCTGCGGGTGGTTGTGTGGTCCGACCTGAGTCTTTCTCTTCGAACATGGCGATGGGCCGCCGGAAAAAGGCCGACGCGAACAGGGCCGCCTGCTGCGGCTGTTGCTGCTGCTGCGACCCACTCACGGCATTGGCAGACGAAGACGACGGCTGCGACACACCACTACCACTCAGCTGCTCGGCGATGCCTGGGTGATGGTGGACAGCAGAGGAGCCAGCTGCCGTTCGTGTTCTGTCCTTCCCTCCCTCCCCCGCTCCCTCCTACTCTCTGTTGTGCTGTGCTCACTTGGTTCCTCGTCTGCAAAGAGTCGGATGACGGCGTCAGTGGTGTCCTGGATGGGGTTGCCAGGCCGGTCACGTCGCGCTCGCCCATCGGCTGACCGGTAGAACTCACGGAAAATGCTCGCGAAGGCCGCATGCAGCGGATATTGCGGCCGGCGGACCTCAGGCGGGCCGTCCAGATAGGACCGATCGGCGGGACCCTGCACACACCACACCACACACACAGGTTTGTTGCGTCGGGGGGGGGACGTTTTCCCTCCCGGTGTGTATGTACCTCTGCGCACTGCTGGATGTAGTCGAGGAAGAAGTACAGCGGCATCATGGCTTGCACCAACTGATTGGCAACACACACACACACACACACACGCCAGACACGTGAGCTGACGCAACACGATACCTGCGTTGACCGCTCGACCTACCGCGTTGAGGTAGCAGTAGTTCTTGACGTTCTCGAGGGCGCGCAGCTGATAGGGGCGGGGGCACTGCTGCAGGATGAACATCCACCGCTCCATGGCCACCTCCCTCGCCTCGGCGGCGCTGAGCGGACGGGACGACTCGGCCACACGCGACATGAGCAGGTGCTGCACACGGCGGTGCAGATACTGCTCGTACTACGCCACACACCACACCCACACACAAACACAAGACACCACACACACGTCAGGATGCGACCGACGCCCTCCCTCCCTCCTTCCTTGTCTGTCTGTCGAATGTGCACACAGATATCCCATCCGTACATGGTAGAGTCTGAGACGTTCGAAGGCCTCCAGCTGGTCTGCACGGACAGTGAAGGTCTGGGTGACACCCCAGTAGAGCAGCCGAGTGAGGACACTGAAGGCAGCCCCGGTATGCGGCAGGCTGGCCATGACACTGTTGCTCAGCCACACGGGCGACAGCACCCGTCGCTTCCCCCAACCCGCCCAACCTATCCGCTCCTGCACAGGAACCGGCTGCTGCGGCTGCGGCTGCTCTTGACTCTGACCACCCTCCTGTCGACGGTTGCCGGCCTTGGCCTTGTCCTTCTCTTTCTCCTTGGGAGGCGGCGCTGCTGGCGATGGCTGGGCAGACCCTCGCCTGGCCGGCACACGGGATGACGGAGTGACAGGCGGCGGCTGGGCGGAGAGCTCAGGCCACGCTGACGCCGCATCAATGCTGTCGCCACCTTGCTGCTGCTTGTGGGGCTGGGGACGGGGCGTCGCCTCTCCAGCAGCCGCGGTGCTCGCTGGTTGGGTGGGGGGAGGAGGGCCCGGCCCGTCCACCCATACAAAAGAAGACTGTTCAGCTCGACTTGCAGGTGCATTGCCGTTTGTCGTCGGCTGCCCTTGGTGCACGCCGTTGGGCATCCCTTTTTCTTTCTGTGGTGGCTGGTCGGCCCGAGGACGCTGCTTTGGAGCGACGGTGGGGGGCTGAGTGGCAGGGGCGGGGGGCTGG